CACATGATCTGATTGCATGCATTTCTCTCTCCTTCTCCCTGACTCCTCCCTCCCTGCCTCCCATAGATCTTGCCATTCATACCTATCTTGGACTTAGCTATACTCACACTCTTTAAAGTTTCCTGCATGCTTCTAGCTTTTACCTACGCTGAGTCCTCTAAATGCAATACACTAAATATCTTTTCACCTCTTCTTTGCTCAATTCTTTCTTTTTAAGACTCAACTCATGCATTAGCCACTTCCTCCAGGAAGCCTTCTCTTGACCTCTCCAATCTGGATTACATGCCTGCCCTTCTTCTATCACTAAAGCTCTCTATTCAGATCACTGTCATGGTCTAATCAAAATGAACCATAATTACAGGTTCATCCTTCAGTCTTTCCCCAATAACTATGAACTTTCTGAGGCAGAGGCTTTATCTGTTACCTTTTAATTTCCAATGCTGTGTGCAGCATATGGAAAAATACAAGGTATTCAATAAATGTTTGTAGAGAAGGTACCATAAGTATCACTGTTGCATTTTCTGAGCATCACTGCCAACTAATCAAAAAATGAGGGAAATATAACTTATTATACATATTTAGATCAGTAAAGGACTATGTTTATAAGACCAAAGAATAAACTGTCCACTCTGGGAACTGCTAAAAGAAAGAAGGCAGTGGGGAAGGACTAGGGGTACAATTACAGCTTTGTTACAACATATCATCTTCTAGGGGCTACCCAGTTACCAGTGCTGCTTCAAACAGCAGCAACTGTCCCATCTGAAAAGGTATGGGGTACTCTGGTGGTAACGGCTATGTGACTCACTGGGTACATCTGCAGCCAAGACAGCATTTTACAAACCTTTATGAATAAAAAGGATGGGACACTTGGCAATGGCCTGTGCAGACCAGACTCCACTCACTAGTGAGCCTCACTTGCACTTCCTCTGCAATATGGCTGAGACTGAGAAATTCATTTAAGTCGGAACTAATGAAGATAGAAATGCAAGAGAAAAGCCCATTGCCTTCAAAAGAAACACCTGGACAGCAAGCATGTGAATCATAAGGAGGCCTGGGCCGCCAATATGCACTGTACATCCCACAGCATTGCCTCCTTATTTTACTTGTTTCAGCTATTTAACTTTGTAAGATGCAAAGAGGCTGGATCAAGCTTAAACAATGCTCCCCACTTTCACATTAAAGAATCTAGAACTACTGATAAAGAAGAGGCCAAGCCTGCCTCTTCCATCTGCCTCTCTTTCTGGCTGGGAAGGAAAAAGAACTTACGTGTGAAAGGAAGAAGTTGGGTGGGACAAGAGTAAAATTTAGAGTAAAAACCAGGCTAGTTCAAGATGCCTTGCAGGCTGTAAAAAAAATGCGGTTTAATCAACTGTACCCTTTTTTTGGTTCAAATGATTTGAAATATTGGAATGTGCAATTTTTAATAAAGTCTTAAAACCTGAAAAAAGAATTAAAAAATATAATCCTTAAAAAATGCCTGCCTATTTACCTTTAACTATTTAGCAAATCATAGGTAAAACCTTATGATCCTCTAGGTCAAGAATTTACATTTAACATTCAAGTCAAATAACATCTAAGTGGCAACTTGAAAGAAACATGTATCGCTATTAAAAATGATCTTTTAAAATAAAAGAATTAAAGTGGGAATGTTAGTTATATTGAGAGGATATATGTTTATCATTGCTCAAAACATTAAAAAAAATTCTTTAGGAACAGATCTAAATTCTGCTTATTGAGCCACAAGAAAAAGTCTTACTACTTCAGAGGCATTTTTTAAACCTTAGCAATCTGGTTGGAAATGGCTCCTTCAAAATATAAACCTACTCTCAAGGGATATCAGTGAAAACATTCTTTTCAGTGCAAAGAAAAAAAGCATTTCAAAAATTTAAGTTCACAGCACTACTGAGCTGAAGGACATTGATATTACTCCCTACCTGCTGGCGATTCTAAGACTTGTTTCAGAGCACAAATTTTACTCTATGCTCATTTTAAGGAAAATGGACTCTCACACTCAACAAAACATGAAACTTGAGCAGAGAGAAGTGCAGAAGAAGAAAACCCATGTGGAAAACAAGAAACCCAAGGTGAAAGGAGCCACTGGGCTTTCCCCTTGGAGTATTCACTTCCATGTCTCCATTTGTTGACGCGGGTGAGAGGTTGTCTTCTTTCACTAATCATCAGTTTCTCTAAATTCTGAGCAGTGGACCAATATGGGGCAGCAGGCATGAGGAATAAAACTGTAAGTGGATCCTGTAAGAATATAGAAAAGGCATCAAGAAATGGCTTGCTTCAAGAGTTTTTCTCTGCTCAAAATTTAAAAGGTTCTGCATTTTATTTTAATAAAATATAATGGTTCCCAAACCATATCTTTGCTCTTTGAGAAATCAAGAGATGTAGGTAACCCCTCTATTCCATCAGAGGGAGTTAGTTCTTTTCAGAAACTAAATTTAGACAATTTTTGGACCTGAGACAGATAATTTTTGGACCTGAGAAAGGTAATAAGAATAATGTCCCTAGCCAAAAAAAGCTTTACCAGTATTTCAATTGAACATTTGTAGATTACATTGGTCCATACAATTAATACATATAGATAAAATTAGCAGTGGGGTCAGAAGACAGAAAAAGATGGAAATAAGAACAGCAGATGAGAGCAGGAGGGACAGTGGATGAAGGTTATATGGCCTCGGAGGTACAAACATAAAAGCAGTTTCTTCATACCTTAAACCACTTAAAGCCCAAATGACTGGTTTCATGCAATATTTCACCCAACAGCTTCAGATAGGCAGTGAGTAGCAGAATGGTGGGAAAAAGATCAACAGGAAAGAGAGAAAGAAAAAAGCATGCAATTAAAAGCAAATTACATATAGCCACTTTGGAAGACAGTTCCATAATTTCTTACAAAGCTAATCATAGTCTTGCCATACAATCCAGCAATCACACTCCCAGGTATTTACCTAAATTAGCTGAAGTATTTGTCCATACAAAGACCTGCACATGAGTGATTCTAACAGCTGAATTCATAATTGCCAAAAATCAGAAGCAATCAAGATGATCTTCAATTGTTGAAGGAACAAACTGTGGTACATTCATACAATGGAATACATTCAGAAATAAAACAAAATGAGCTATAAGGCTACAAAAAGACATAGAAGAAACTTAAATGCAGAGGCTAAATGGAAGACACCAGTCTGAAAGGCTCCATACAGTATGATTCCAACAATATGACATCTGGGAAAGGCAAAACTGTAGAGACACGAAAAAAATCAGGGGTTAGAGGAGATGGAAGAGGGATCAATGTGTGGAGCTCAGGGGATGTTTAGGGCAGTGTCTCTATGATACTGTAATGGTGATTATATGACATACATTTGTCAAAACTCATATAATGTACAACACACAAAGTGAACCCTAATGTAAACTATGGACTAGTTAATGTATCACTATTGGCTCATCAATTTCGACAGTATATCACAACAATGTAAGATGTTAATAAGAGGGAAAACCTGGAGGAAGGAGTACATGGGAACTCCAGAATTCCTGTTCAACTCTTCAGTAAACTAAAAAACTGATCTAAAAAGTCTATTAATTATAAGTAAATAAATATGAATCTGCCTAAAAAAAGCCAATCATAACCAGTTCACACAACAGCTTAAGAACACATAGCAGAAATCTATATACCATAATGACATGTAAACATTTTGATATGATCTTTACGTTTAAGACCTGTCACTAATGAGTCCCAAGCAGAAAGAAATCTTTACAAAAAAGAGAAAAATGGGGGACATTCTGACAATAAAGGAAAGAATGTAAAAAAGGTAAGATCAAGATGGCTGTACCACCCTCTCTCTCTGGAGCCCTCCACTAGCAGTGCTATTTAACTGCACACTAGGGAATATTCAAATAGGAAGGGGACAGGCGTCCAACGAGGAACAGAGCACTGAAAGACACTCATTCTGTGAAAATATCAATTTTCCTTCAACTTTGCTAGTGTCAGTTTGTCTGTCTTTCTACACATGGCACTAAAGAAACCACATCCTCGCACCTAAGAGTTATGCAGGGTCTCCCTTATGGTACCTGTTCTGGTATGTCTGCTTTGAAAAGCACCTTCAACCTTGCTAACCACCTTAACTCACTGGAGCACTGGTGGTCTGATCAAGAGAGGTCCCAGAAAAACTCCTGCCACCCTCTCACTGAATTCTTTTTATCTGTTTAGCATTTATATTTCTCCAACAAAGAAAGGGAGAGGAAACAGGGACTGAAAACATTAAAAGTCATGAAACTCTGTAAGGGACACTCAAAAACTCAAATCACACTCTCACAGTGGGAAATGAGATTAGAGCCTTCAGTGTTCAAACTGTTTGTTCCATTCATATCTCCCATCTTTAGTTATTCCTCCTAATAAAAAGTTAAAAGCAAGGACATGGGTCTCTAAAAAGATGTAAAAAAGTATATAAAATGAACATCACGAAGAGCAACAGTACAGCTCTGTGATAAGCAACCTCCAGGTTGAAACACAATGAGCTGGGACTCCCAGGTGTGGTATCTTTGTCCTTCATACGTGTTATTAATCTTAACTTGTTAAGCTTCTCTTTTATACAAGGCAGGGTATGAAATAAACAACCTATCTGCTATATAAAATTAACATCTTTAACTCAGAAAGTCTGTCCTAATCAATTTGTCCCACCCAATCTGAAAGCAGGCTTGTGCCCAGTTTTGTAACAAGCATACAAGTTCCATTTCATCTCATCAGACATATGAGCATATACTATATAAATAGGTATGAAACCAGTCCCAAATCGCTCATGCAGAGACGTCTGCATTAACATGCATCAATTCTTACACAACTAAACTTCAAATCTTATCTAAGTCTAAATGCTCATGCTTGATGAAGTGCTTTGAAACCCTATACACATACATTATGTAGAGTTTACCTAAACTAAACTGGTTGGGTTTTACCTTTTGTTTAACCAACAGTATTGCTAGTAACTGTATAAATTGCAGACCTGTTTCTCAGCTTGGGTCCTGGCTGATTCCTCTTGTGCCAGCACCATTTCTCGCTCTGCAGTTATCTGTACACTTTCTCTTAGTGCTTCTTCCAGCTCTTCAATCCTGTCATCCTTCTTACGGAGACTGTCCTGGAAAACGATGGAAGACTAGATGAAGTAGACTAATTAGTTAACACAAGGAGAGCCTATTTAGCAAGAAAGGGTGGTCTATTTGCTTATTAAATATTCTTCCCTTCAGAGGTAAATTCAGGCTACAAAGGCATCTACACAGAGGAAAGAGAAAAACAAGGGTAGAAAAGAAGTAAAGGAAGTTGAAGAAGTATATTATGATAAGCAAAGGGTCAAGTTAGTTAAGCAAGAGAAACCTGTGATGGACTTGTTCTCTGTAACAGAGAGCATAAAACTGTGTTAGGCAGCATAAGTAACAAGGGCTTTATGATTTAAAAAAACAAAGCTGTTTTTAAACTACTCTCTAAACTGGGCTTAAAGTCAGCTTTGATGAAGCCTAAGTAAAAAGACTCAATACCAAAACATTCTCTTTGCCTGCAAAGTTAAGCCTAGGTTTAAAAAATGTTAAGTAAACAGCATGATCTTTGAGATTATATTATTCATATAGACAATCATTAGCACATTAATTAAAAAATAATAAATGCAAAAGAAGATATTTCTTAATGATTTTAAGAAAGCCAAGTTTTTCTTAATCTCATGAGAACACCAAAAATGGTAATTGGATCTAAGTGACTGGTCTGGCTAAGGATGAATAGTTTGGTTAGCCAAGCAGTTTCCACTAGCCCTGAAGTTCTATACAAGTTTAAAAAGTAACTTCTAGGAAGGTAAATATGGATTTCTGTGAGAAAGACAAACAAAACCCTACAGGACTTTAAGATCATGAGATAGGCAAAGTCTTAAAACAAGGAGACTAAATGAAGCAAGAGTCTAAAGAAGAATCAGATTTATCAGGCCACTGTAAGAATTTCCTCTTTAAGTTTTACAGAACCATAAGATTAGAATAAAGTGCTGCCTGTTATTAATATATGAAAAAGAACAAGATATGCTAAACCGTTCTCCAACTTTTAGAATACCCATCAGCAAAACATATCAAAGGATTTTGTCTCTTATCTAGACAACTCTCATTTAATTAGATCATAGTTCACTTTTGTGCATGAAAGTGAACTTTTGAGAACTTTGTCTTCAGAAATCCAAACTTGAAATCTGTAAAAAGATAAGTCATGCTTTTCTTCCAACTTTGAAGGAAAGGCACTGATTACTTAATATCCTTCCTAATACAGAGTTTATAAATCTTTTGCTTTTTTTTAAATTAAATGAGATTTAGAGAAAAGAATATTCACATTTTTGTGATATATGTTCTGTTCATTTAAAAAAAGTTTTCATTCTTGGAGAAAATATTATAAAATACTGATTTAGTCTCAAATTTTTAAAAAGTGCCATGAGGAGGAGATGACATTGAAGGTTCCCAGGAGGATGCCAAGCAGAGAGACAAGGAATGATTCCAGTTAAAACAAAGGCCAAGGCAGTTTCTTTTAATTCAAAGGAAATTCAGTATAACAGAAGGATTGTGTAGACAGAAATGGACACAACAGTTAGTTCATCCTCTCAAATCCTCTAATGAATAACTTTATTTGTAGTAACATGGGACACTGAATTATAGACTGCTGTAATCAAAAAGAAACAGTACTGTTTCCCATTATCAGCCACTTGCAAATAACTCAGTATTCTGTTTTTGTCCAGTGTCTTACATTCTCCACTCTTAAACAGTCTTTTGGGGATCTCCTGAGAGGTTTTTGTTATCTTAACCTAAACTGAGACTGTAAACGGTATCCCAAATAACTTCCCAAAAACATATGTCAAGCAAAGAGGTTTATTTGCACTTCCATATGGGCTGAAAAATAGCTTTGTGGCTTTATCAGTAAAACTTGTTTTAGAGAGAGGATGATTAGTAGTTTGTCATGATGCAGATGTTCAATGCTGGTTTTCATACTCAAAGTTTCTGAAAAACCAGCAGTAAAATCAGAGTCAACTTGATGAGCTCAGTATAGAAGGCCATTTATTTAAGAAAAGTTTTCTGGACCTAATGGCACAGCCTGGCTTTTTCTCCATAGTAAGGACAGAGAAGAAAAGCCAAGTGAAACTACAAATAAAAAGGAGGACTATTAAATAATATTCATTAAATATTGCAAGTTGCATAATGTCTCAGTGTAAAAACTAAATGTGGAACCACCAGCTCTAAGAAAACAGTATTAAACCAGGGCAAGAGAATGAAGACAGCAAATGCCCCATCACATTCATCAGCCAAGTTTGTAAGTACCTAATCCATCCACTGAGCAAAATTTGGCTCAAGTTTCATTTTCAGAATCTCAACAGATACCAGCTAAGGTAAAGCAAGGAAGCTTCCTTTGTACTGAACTACACCTTGAATCTATTTTATCTAATAAAATATAGAGCCAATGTCAGAAGTGAGAAGAATCTTTCAGTTCTACAAATACAGAATCCTGAACACACTGCTAGGTCATATTTATAATTATCGTTTGCTGTCCTCACTCTTTCAATGAAGATTAAATACATTTTTCTGTATTTAGATTATAATATATGTGTACTTCTTTTTTTAAGTTTAGAATACTAGAGAAAAGATCTTAAAAAGTTTTACTAAGGCCAAAAATGATCACCACAAAGAATAAAAAATTGGAAGGCTCTGGAATTTTTAAGGGCAATGCAGGAAACTAGATAGAAGACAACTGAGGCAATCTCTTCAAAATGCTGAGGGAAAAATGACTTCTGATCTAGAATTCTATATCCTAACTGCCAATCCAATGTGAGTGTAGAATGAAATGTCTGAAAAAGGTTATCATGCATCAGACTTTCAGGAAGCTAACAGCGACATGCCGTATCAGACTGAGGAAATGAACCTAGAAAGAGGAAGACATAGGATCTAGAAAAGAGGGGATCTACCACAATTAAATGGTGAAGGGAACCTGGGGGTGACAATAAGCCTAGAAAGAACAGTTCAGAAAAGAGGGTAAAAACTCAAGAAAAGATGTTTCCAAGAAAAAAAGTGGGTATACAGATTGCTGGGGTTAATTAGTAAGGGATGATGTACTTCACAACAGTAAAAACTTCGAGAGGAATGTTAACAGTTTAAGAAAGGAATCTGAGAATAAATTGATAATAGCTAATAAAAAAACCAAATAATTGTTAATACCTGGAAAAACTAAAGCTACAATAAAGGAAATATAAACCACAATGTATTATATGCCTTATACACAATAATGCAAAACTCAATATAACTATATTGGAAAGATGGGAAGAGGAAGTATGTGTGATGGCTTGTGTAAAAACGCTAATTTCTTATCATTCACGATTAAGAAGTCAACAGATAACTAATGTTCAAATAAGAAAAATAAGAAAACAAAAATATAAGAATGTCATTTGGGAAGTTGGAAGTAAACAGCAGAAGAAAAAACCAAAACAGGTGAAGGTGGTTGTCTCAGGGTAGCAGGAATTAAGTTAAGGTTAGACCAAAATAAGGGAGAAGACTATCATTATTTATCATAAGCCATGTAGTATTATTTTACTTTGTAAATGATATAAATACATACTCAAAAAAAAAATCAAAAGTCAAATTCAAAATACATTAAAAGAATAACACACACTGCAAATAATAAGAATATAAAGAACTTCTGGAGCTTCAACATTTGTAAATGTGGTATTTCAGATACTGATATTCTAAATACATGGGCTATTTACTGTGGAAAAAGAAAAGCAGACTGGACAAATATATCTAAGACAGCATTAATGGCACAAAAAAAGTTTACGGAAAAAAATGAATTTCAAGTCATTGTACTTGTCAGGTTTTTATTCAAAACTGTGAATATCTTAATGCCAACAATTTGCATGAATGGGTCAAAATTATGATGAAAATTCCTTTCCAGTCTTTATGTAATCATGGAATGCTCCAAATAACATTCTTAAAGGGATGCTATGTTGCATTAAGTTCTGCTGCTATTCTGAATATTTAAAAGACACCAAAAACTTAAATATCTCAATAGCAGAAGGCTGAGACACAGCACCAAGAGCTTTCAAAATTGTCCCATCTGCTTTTTTGTGCAAATACCTTTCTTCTTCCTAAACCTGCAAAAATAGTAGTGACAGATTTTGGTGATAGAGTTTGATACAGAATTCTAGTGACAAAACTGTTCACCTATACTGTACTTACTGGTATATTCTAGTTTGAAGAAAGAGAAATCTCAACTGTTCAATGCCTAAATTTTCAGTAGAAGAACTGACAGTTAAAACCAGCTTCTGTGAATGTGTATGACACAATAAAATTTGAGTTGGTAAAGTACTGGACTTCAGATATTGTGAAACACAACAGACTTGGTATTTCTGCTCTCAGGCCCAGGCTTGAGGAAGTAAAGGGATGTGATGAAACCCTTAGAAAGTGCTTCTTGGTGGCTTAAACAGTGAGTGATTACACCAGGCACAGGCTGAGGCCCTGAATATGTTTCATATTCTTAAATACACTTTCTTTTTCCACATTTGTCAGTATTCATGATAAATCACGAAGTACTCATGCCATTCTGAGTCTGTAATCCTGGAAAAATCTACATAGAACTTTTCATATCCCTAATCCCTTCTATCCCTAAGATATTCCACAGTTTTGAAGGATCTGAGGCACTGAGAAAGTAGAAAGATGACTTATGGGAACCAAGTGTAGATAGAGATTAAAGATAAGGTATAACATGCCACATTTAAGTTTGAGAAAATCATTCCTGTTTTTTTCTGAGAAACTCATTTGCTGCTAGTTTGGAATAAAATCTCAACGTCAGCTAAATACATTATTTGCACTGTCCAATATGGCAGTCACTGGCTACTGAGCACTTAAGATGTGGTTAGCCCAAATTCAGATATGTGCAAATACACACAAAATTTCAAAGACTTAGTACCAAAAACAAGTAAATATTAAATTGATCATCACATTGAATATATTTTATAATGGTAACATTTTTAATATATGGAATTAAATAAAATACATTATCAAAATTAATGTAATCTGTTTTAGTTTTTTAATGAAACTATTAGAAAATTAGAAAATTCAAAGCGCTCACATTGTA